GACTTTTACCATCTGTTGGATTTGGTGCCCCGAACCATGAATTGTTCAAAGATTCATCGTCGTAATTTTGTGCCCAGAATCGAAAACTTAAAGAAATATTTGAGTCCAAACAACGAGAAAGATTTTCTAAATGGTAGCAATCTCAATGAAAGTAAAAGTTTACAGTACATATGAGAAAAACGAAAGTTAACCTAAACAAAGAACTAAGTCAAAACTGAAACATTAATTAAACACTGCAAGTATCAAATCTAACAACTGACTTTGAACTTACAAACTGTTTATTTCCACAAGGATACCTTTACTCAAAAAACAGTATCATCCTCTCGATATCTGTAATATAATCCTTGTTCAAGGCTTGAATTTGAGACGTATTTCCACGAAGTTGAAAAACTTGGGATCTAGGAGGTCATCTTCGATAATACCCTGTAAAAGCGCTCCAAGTTTAAAGACAAGAAATGAAACAGAGTCGGTATGTATGGGGAGATAGAAGACGCTGAGCAAGTCGTGACAACCGTTTGTATAATCATGCTTATTCATGACCACCGTCGCATTACTTTTATCTGCCTTCTTAATCATAATGTCACTGTTTACTCTGAAAATTCTATGGTTTCAAATTCTGTAATTTTACGGTCAAGTTAAGTTTAAGCGGTTTAGTTAAAATTATCAGAGGCTACCTTCTATTAAGGGCTTTGTTAAACAATCATTAAGTTAACGGGGAACATCAGTCTCTCCTCATCTCTCCCTTACACCCCGACTCTACTTCATTTCCTGTAATATAAATTTTGAACACTCACAGGGTATGGTTCAACGAGGTTCTTAAGCTAGAAATACCTCTCAAATTCAAAGTAAACACCCGGCAACGTACTTCAGCTGCTTACCTAACGCATATCAACCTGTTTCCTTCAGATCTATTATCTCTACTGTGAACTGCTTTTTCGTAGATGCTTCGAAATTAACCGTTAAAATACTCGAACCCCCAACTAGAAGAAACACATCATACGCCGAAAATTCCCATGAGTTCAGCAAATTAAGCCCCATGAAGGAAGTATTACGGTCAGTTACGACGTTAAAGACTTATTTTCTAATATTCCTGCTGACAATATTCATTTAATCAGCGTAATAATCTCACAACTAATTCTGTCTTAAAGTAAATAATTTTTAACAGGTGAATTATTTCTCCTTTGATGGTCGTTTCTTTAAACAAACTAAACGGGTGCCAGTAGGCATTACCGAAATTTATATGGAACACTTCGAAAATGCTGATCACAACATGAACTCAGAGCTGTTTCCAAGTGTTTTCAAAAGTTATATTTACTGTTTCCGCCATCTGCTCCAGCCGTGATGAAAATAAGGTACTAGACCTTATCAATAGCCTGTTCCCTCAAAATATCGAGTTAACTGTTGAAACAAAAAATAACTCTAGTTGGCCTTTTCTTGATGTCTTAATAATTGACTGCAATAACTACTTCATCGTAAACCTGCTAATAATGGTAAGTATTTAAGCTTCAACTCACATAATCATTTAAATAATAAACGGTATGTAGCTACAGCTTTAACATACAAGGACCTGAACCTCTATAGTAACGAATTTCCTGAAGAACAAATAAAGAATATTAAACTGAACTTATGTAGTAACCATTATCCAATCAAATTCGTTAACGATATCATAAACCGTAGAATAAATTACTTTAAATCAACTAGTAAAATATTATAAGTGTTACTTAATTCTATCTTCTCATAAAAACTTAAATGAAAAGTTACAAAGATAACTTGAAACTAAGTATGAAACTAATGCTATAATTTTGAGAATAAAGATCTTCTAAGCTGGATTTACCACGTAACTGTGGGAAATATGAAAAATGGTAACAAGAGAAATGGGAAACACTGTCACTCAAGGAACAACTACCCACTTGTAAAGCTGGAAAAAATGGATAATCGCAGACGCCGCAAGAGACACGAGATGACGAAGCACCCGGAAAGAAAACAAAGCCTAGCAGCAGCAAAGTCAAGGAACAGGGCGAAAAGACCTCTGGGATTGTGCATCAAGCGGCACAGAAAGGGCACGCCCCTGATTGTCAGTGTATTGGCATCATCAAAGAGAGATACTGGCTGCACAGACGTGTCAATGAGGCATTAATCATCCAGTTTTGCAACAGTATCAACCGTTACAAAAGAAAACGAATTCTGCGCGGGCGGACGAGCACTAATGCTACTAAACCAGCAGCACGGAAAAAAGCTTGCCTTCTGGATCTAAATTAACCCACCTCTGAAATCTTATCACAATTCTAACTCAAAGAAAGATCGTGCGACAGGAGCTGAACGACATTTCGTCAATAATCTAACTGACCATATTATTTTTTGCGTTAATGAACCGAGTTTTATGCTGCTTTTCAGTATGACCACCAACGCACGAATAAAATTCTCTATCTTAGGGTTAGAAGGAGGAAAGCCAAATTTCTATGGGTTACGGAGAACACCCGAGCCGTTAAAATGCATACAAACGAGGCTAAGAGGTAGTACTTGCACATCACTGCAATTTCGAAGCCAGTCAATCGGAACAACAGATGGGAGAGGGAACGCTGGCTGCGCTATGAAAAAAATCCATAAGGCAGGCAGAGATAGTGACAAACCAGGTGTAAGACAATCAAGAGGCAGATCGAGGACTAAACGGCTCGAATCTACTGCTAGAGCAGTAAAATCGACTGGAACTTGAACCCTGGTGCCCATCCCCCCAGAGCTTATCGGATTTGTAGAAGGCTCAGACCGTTGAAAAAAACTCCCAAAACTAATGCCCCGCGATCTGACGTCCAAAATCGAAGGATAATTAACGCCTTTCTACCTGAAGTCTTCAGGTTTGGGTACTGAACTTTCATTCTCCTAAATTACAACGGAAAGGCTAAATCAGGCAAATGATGAGAGATTCGCCAAAATGAAGCAAGCTTCAGGCGGGGGAAGGGGGGGGGGGTTCTTCCGTCCGGACCATATTTTAAACTCTGCAGA